ATATTTGTTGTAAGGACTGATGCTGAAACTGAAGCTCCATTATTTGGCCACTTGATAAGAAGAGCTGATTCATTGGAAAAGACCCTAATGCTGGGAAAGATTAAGGGTGGGAGGAGAAGGGGACAACAGAGGATGAGTTGGTTGGATGGCATCACCAACTCAATGAGTCTGAGCAAACTCCAGGAGATAAGGAAGGACAGGGAGATCTGGGGTGCTCAGTCCATGGGGTCACAGAGTCAGACATGACTTAGCAACTGAACAGCAACAACACTGTAAATGGAAAGACATTCCATATTTAGGGATTGGAAGATTTAATGTTGTTACAAAGATATTATCGCCTAAAGCAACCTACAGATTCAATGCACTCGGTATCAAAATTCCAGTGATGTCTTTTGCAAAATGGATCATAGACCTAAACATAAGAACTAAATCAATAAAACTCTTAGAAGAAAACATAAGAGAAACTCTTCATGACAATGCATTTGGCAATGATTTCTCGGCAATGACACCAAAAGCACAGATAGCAAAAGGAAAAGTAGGTAAAATGAACTTTACAAAAATTAAAAATAAAGAGAGACTTCCTTGCTGGCCCAGTAGTTAAGAATCTGCCTGCCAATGCAGGGGACCTAGTTTCAATCCCGATACATCACCGACTCAATGGACATGAGTTTGAGCAAAATCCAGGAAATAGTGAAGGATAGGGAAGCCCAGTGTGCTGCAGTTCATGGGATCACGAAGAGTTAGACACGACTTAGTGACTGAACTACAACGGAAGATTCCACATGCCTCGGAGCAACTAAGCCTGTCTGCCACGACTACTGAGCCCATGCTCTAGAGCCTGGGCTCAGCAGCTACTGAAGCCACTGCAATGAGAAGCTCATACTCCAAAACTAGAGAGTAGCCCCCACTCACCAAAACTAGAGAAAGCTCGTGTGCAGCAACAAAGACCCAGAGCAATTAGCCATAAAAAAGAACGAATTTGAGTAAGTTTCAGTGAAGTGGATGAACCTAGAACCTGTTTTACAAAGTCAAATAAGTCAGAAAGAGAAAAACAATTATCATATATTAGCGCATATATATGAAATCTAGAGAAATGGCATTAATGAACCTATTTGCAGGAAAGTATGGAGGCACAGATATAGAAAATAGACTTGTGGACACAGTAGGGGAAGGAAAGAGTGGGAAGAACGGAGAGAGTAGCACTGACATATATACATTACTTTGTATAAAATAGATAGCCGGTGAGAAGTTGCTATATAACACAGGGAGCCCAGCTTGGCACTCTGTGATGACCTAGAAGGGTGGGGCTGGAGGAGGGGAGGGACACTCAAGAGAAAGGTGATACATGTCTAATTATGGCTGATACGTGTTGTTGTATGGCAGAAACCAACACAGCATTGTAAAGCAATGTTCCCCCAATTGAAAAATAAATCAAAAAAAAAAAACAATGCAGCCATTAAATAAATAAATCTTTAAAAAGAGAAAAGGAAAAGAATGAAAAGGAAACCCACAGAATGGGAAAATAATATTTTCACCAATCATATATCTAATAAGCGATTAATGTCAAGAATTTATAAAGAAGTTCTACAACTTTTTTAAAAAACAGAAAATGAGTATTGGGGAGAAATTCGAATCTTTGCACATTGTTTCCGGGAATATTAAATGGTGCAGCTACCATGGAAAAGAGTCTTGGGTTTTCTCAATTAAATATAGAATTACTGTATGATGCAGTAATTCCACATTTAGATACACACACACACAAACACACACACACACACACAAAAAGGAAAGCAGGGACTTGAACAGAAGACATACGTTCACCAATGTTCATAGCAGCATTAGTCACAACAACCAAAAGTGGAAATAACACAAAATATCCATTGGTGGATGAACAAACAAACAAAATGTTTTATATATATATATAATGAAATCCTTATTCACTCTTTAAAAGAATTTGGAGGTGATGATGACAACTATGGCCATGGTCCTGGTTATAGTAGTGGAGAAGGCTATGGTGGTGTTGGACCAGAATATGGTAACCAAGGTGGTGGATATGGTGGCGGTGGTGGAGGATATGATGGTTACAATGAAGGAGGAAATTTTGGAGCTAACTATGTGGTGGTGGAAACTATAATGATTTTGAAAATTATAGTGGACAACAGCAATCAAATTAAGCCCCATGAAAGGGGGTAGTTTTGATGGAAGAACCTCAGGCAGTCCCTATGGTGATAGTTATGGATCTAGTGATGGAAGTGGTGGATATGGTAGCAGAAGGTTCTAAATACTCAGAAGAAAAGGGCTACAGTTCTTAGCAGGAGAGAGAGCAAGGAGTTGTCAGGAAAGCTGCAGGTTAGTTTAAGACAGTTGTCCCAAATGTGTTAGAGAAACTGTAAAAATCTGCCACAGAAGGAACGATGATCCATAGTCAGAAAAGTTACTGCAGCTTAAACAGGAAACCCGTCTTGTTCAGGACTATCATAGCAACAGTTTGCAAAAAGTGCAGCTATTGATTAATGCAATGTAGTGTCAATTAGATGTACATTCCTAAGGTCTTTTATTTGTTGTAGCTTTGTCTCTTTCTTTTCATTACATCAGGCATATTGCCCTGTAAATTGTGGTAGTGGTACCAGGAATAAAAAAAAATAAGGAATTTTTACCTTTAAAAAAACAAAAGAGAAAAATTTCAGTACATGTTACAACACAAATGAACCTGAAAACAGTATACAATGAAAAAAGCCAGATACGAAAGAATAAATAATGTACAATTCCATTTCTTTATACAAGGTACCCAAAAGAATCAAATGCTTATGGACAGAAAATAGAATAGACATTACCAGTGGCTTGGGGCAGGGGAGTTTGGGCAGTTACTGTTTAGTAAGTCCAGAGTTTCAGTTTGGGATGATGAAAAAATTTCTAGAGATGGATAGAGGTGATGGTTGCACCACAGTGTAAGTATACCTTATGCCACTGAGTTGTACACTAAAACCAGTTAAAATGGTAACTTTTATGTCATCTGTATTTTACCAGAAATTTTTTAAAAGTCGGGGTGTTGGCAGGACTGTGTTCCTTTCTGGAGGCTCTCCATTAGAGTTAAATCAAGATGCCCATTCTTGTTGAATATTGATGTCATGGTCAGCGCTCAGATTTGCCTGCAGTGCCAGCCTGAGTATTCACAGTGCCAGGGACTAGTTTATAATAGCAGTAATTGGGGATTAGATTTAGATAAAAGATCCCTTTTAAGACTTTATAAACAACCTACAAATAGGGAAACAGTGGAAACAGAGGTAGACTCTATTTGGGGGGGCTCCAAAATCACTGAAGATGGTGACTGCAACCATGAAATTAAAAGACGCTTGCTCCTTGGAAGAAAAGTTATGACCAACCTAGACAGCATGTTAAAAAGCAGAGACGTTACTTTGCCAACAAAGGTCCGTCTAGTCAAGGCTATGGCTTTTCCAGTAGTCATGTACGGATGTGAGAGTTGGACTATAAAGAAAGCTGAGCACTGAAGAACTGGTGCTTTTGAACTGTGGTGTTGGAGAAGACTCTTGAGAATCCCTTGGCCTGCAAGGAGATCCAACCAGTCCATCCTAAAGGAGATCAGTCCTGGGTGTTCATTGGAAGGACTGATGTTGATGGTGAAACTCCAATACTTTGGCCACCTGATGCGAAGAACTGACTCATTTGAAAAGACCCTGATGCTGGGAAAGATTGAAGGCAGGAGGAGAAGGGGACAACAGAGGATGAGATGGTTGGATGGCATCACCAACTCAATGGACATGAGTTTGAGTAAACTCTGGGAGTTGGTGATGGACAGGGAGGCCTGGCAAGCTGCAGTCCATGGGGTCACAAAGAGTTGGAGATGACTGAGAGACTGAACTGAACTGAATTGAAAACAACCTGCAGCCAGGACTGTATCTTTCATGATGTGTCTCTCCCTTCCCCACCATCCAGGGTCTACATAGAGTAGGTATCCAGCAGGTACTGGTTGGACTGGCTAGAAAAATGTAGGAGTATAAACAGAAAAGCTGGTGGGGGTCTCTGAGCCCCAGAGCCCCAGAGGAGGGGCAGCAAGCTGCTGGAGCCCAGGCTGGTTATGATCCCCAGGAAGGAGACCAGGAGGAAGGAGGAAGTCCAGGGCACAGCAGGCAAGCCAGGGCGCCCCTTCACTGTGTGATCCTGAGGCTGCCTGAACCACCAGTAACACAGGTAATAAAGTGCCAGATGTAAAACTTCCTGCTGAGTATAGAGTGAAGTAAGTCAGAAGGAGAAAAACAAATATTGTATATTAATGAATATATATGGGATATAGAAAATGATGCCTATGAACCTATTTGCAGGGCAGGAATAGAGATGCAGATGTAGAAAACACACTTGTGGACATGGCCAGGGGGAGAAGTGGGATTGATTGAGAAAGTAACATTATCATATATATGCTACCATGTTTAAAAAAATACAGCTAGTGGGAAGGTGCTGCATAGCACAGGAAGCTCAGCCCGGTGCTCTGTGATGACCTTGAGGGGTGGGATAAGGGCGTGTGGTGGGAGGGAGGCTCAAGAGGGAAGGGTTGTATGTATACACGCAGCTGATTCACCTTGTTGTTCAGCAGAAACTAACAACATTGTAAGGCAATTATACTCCAATAAAAAAGAAAGAAAACTTCCAGCTGAGAAAAGATGAGATTTGCATAGCCTCTTTCCAACCCCCAGCTCATGCCTCTTCATTTTAGTTTCGGATACAATCAACTCTAGGAGATGCCCTGGTCAAGAGGGGTGAGGGAGAAAATCCAAGAATGGCCAAGGGGAGATGGAGCCACACTGCAGTTGTCCTGCCCTCTTTCCTGCCCAACCTTGACCAGCCGTCTGCCCACCAGGCCTGGAGGAGCTTTCCTATCCAAGAATCAAGCCATTATATGTAAGGTTCTGCTTTCAAGTGGCCTTTTATAGACTGCTCAAGCAATGGGTGTGGTGAGACAAATGAATACCAATGAGAAAGGCATGTACTTTGCCAAGGAAATTGAGTTTATTAGGTTACAAGGGAGGGTTGCTGACACGTGGGCAGGCTCTCTGGACAAGCCAAGAGGAAACAGTCCCCAGTGAAGGAAAGTGTGGGCAGGGATCATCTGGAGGAGGTCAGGTGAGCTTCTGGATTCCCCCCCTGGGGAAGCTCCAGCCATGCACATTGTGTTTTCTGACTTGTTTGGTGGAATGAAGCAGAGCCAGGTCATAGCTCCAGAACCCTGGGCCCTGTCTCCTTGCTCCTCGGGGAATCGCTGGACTCTAGCGCACGTAGGAGTTGCAGGGCCCACAGCGGGAGCGGGGGACACAGGGCGTGCAGGGGGCAGCAGGAACACAGGGGGTGCAGGGACTGGAGATGCAGGGTGCGATGGTCTTGCCGCAGGCATTGGTCGTGGCACAGGGATTGCAGGGCAGCCTGGAGAAAGGGAATGATATAAATTGAGGGAGGCTTGTGATGTAACCAGAGAGACCCCAAGACTGGACTGCCCACTGGGACTTGACCAGACCTATAACAGAGAAGGTCACAGGCTCACCTGATACAAAGCTCACTATCAATGTTAATGGTCTCCCTGTCATATGCTATCAAAAGTGCTGGACAGAGACACAAAAACTCTGGTCTCAGCTCCCAACATTGTCCATTCCTAGTTGGTGACCTTGGATAAGTCACTAAACTTCTTCAAGCCCCAATCCCTTCATCCATAGAATGATGAGAATACTGATCCAGTCAGCCTCATGGTTAACTCTAGCAGCAAATGAGGTAGCATTTAGAAACATACCCTCTACACAGTATGGTATTACAAAATTTAAGAAATGTCATTGATCACATATCAATATCATCACAGTAGACTGCAGAGTTGGCTGTACAATTTTAGTGTATCCCTCAAGCAGTTCATGCCATTTTATGTTTTAATGTTAACCACATTGCTTTCTGAGCTCTGTTTGAGCATGTCTGGTGTGAAGGCATAATTTCCTCTCCAAAGTATGCAGTCTTTGCCTGGAGTCCAACTAAGAAGTACGCCTATGTGCTCATGGCTTCACCAAACACCTGCTCGGTACTCACTTGCAGTCCTCGCTGTCCAGCAGCCCCCGGTACGTGTTGATCTCACACTCCAGCCGGGCCCGCACGTCCAGCAGCACCTGGTACTCCTGGTTCTGCCGCTCCAGGTCACTCCTGATCTCCGCCAGCTGTGACTCCACGTTGCCGATCAGGCCCTGCACCTGGGCCAGCTGGCAGCTGTAGCGAGCCTCCGTCTCCGTCAGGGTGTTCTCCAGGGAGTCTCTCTGTCAGAGGGAAAGAGGAGGAAGGTCACAGAGCTGCTCCTTCAGGGGCTACTCCATCACCTCCAAATAAGTCACAAGCTCTAAGAGTTCATGAGAGGGTGGCCTGGAGGGCATCCCAGTGCCCCTGACTCCCCGACCTCACCTCCTCACCAGGAGTCTCATCAATACCCACCAGGTTGTGCTGGGCCTGCAGTTCCACCTCCAGGGCATTGACCGTGCGTCTCAGCTCAATGATCTCCGTCTGGCAGGACTGCAGCTGCTCTGAGCTGGACACCACCTGCTTGTTCAGCTCCTCAGTCTGAAACACCAAAGGGCAGAAGACAGGATCAGACCCCACCTGAAGGGCCCCAAGGAGCTGAGGGTCCTGGGAGACCACGTGCTGAGCTGCTCACCTGCCTGATGTACCATTCCTCCACGTCCCTGCGGTTGGTCTCCACCAAGGCCTCATACTGAGCCCTGGTCTCGTTGAGCACGCGGTTGAGGTCCACAGTGGGGGCGGCGTCCACCTCCACGTTGAGGCGGTCTCCCAGCTGGCTCCGCAGGGTGTTGACTTCCTGTGGATGCAGAAAATGCAAGAGTGACTGTCCTCAATGAAGAGTGGAACCTAAGAAATGGCACTGCTTGTTGACATCCTATTCATCTATTTCCTTGGAAAAGGAACTTCTAGTAGAACAGCTATGACAGCAGAAGGTAAAATGGTCTGTGTTCCATGTGTTCAGCTCCTTCCCACCATGACTGTGTCATGATCCTTGGATTCAAAAAAAATTTCCAGTGGTTTGCTTGGGGGTTATTCAAGGATGTATAAATGCCCAAATTTCCCAGGTTGTAGATTGGTGGCAGATAACCCCATCAATAAAAGTAATTGGCTGTATAATTCAGATTGTATATCAAACCATTCTTACCATCAAGTAAGATATTGTCATGACCCCTCCCAGGAGACAGAAGGAACCCTGGATCATTTTTCATCAAGACTTTGAAAGAATAGAGACTTTGATTCACCAGGACTGATATTTTGGCTTTGGGGAAGAGAGATGGCTTCGAGTGGCATATCAGAGCAGTGCTGGGACTTCTACAAATCAGCAGCCAATCACAAGCCCAGGGAGGTGCCTAGGAAACTAAAGTGATGCCCCAATTTCAAGTGAAAGATACAGCTTATCTGGGAATATGGATAGGTTTCATCTCCCAATGTTTTCTTTCATCATGAAATTTTGGTGTTTTCAGAAAAATCTGAAAGATTCTTATCCCTGATTCCACCACCCCAAGTCATTAAAGCCGCCCTAGGCCTGAGGCTGAGTCAGGCTTCTTCATTTCTCATCTCTGGTCTCACCTCCTCATGGTTGCTCTTGAGGCAGATTAGCTCCTCCTTCAGGGACTCCACCTGGGCCTCCAGGTCAGACTTGCACAGGGTCAGCTCATCCAGGATCCTACGCAGGCCGTTGATGTCTGACTCCACCAGCTGCCGCAAGCCCAGCTCTGTCTCATACCTGCACAAGGACAGGGTCAGAGCGGTAGCTAGCAGACCCCAAAGGCTCACAGGAATGATCTTGGATAACCCCAATCACCTTGCCTTCCCCCTTCGGCAGTGAGTAGACCCAGGAGACAGAGGCAGGGTGCTGGAGGCTCAGTCAAGACCCAATATTGATCCCGAAATTGACTTGAGTCCTCATCTACTTTTGTGCCTCCTTTGTTTGGTCCCCCCAATCCTCTGCAGACTCCTTCATGATTGATGGATTGACTGCTGTTCAGTCAGCCATGGAAAACCCTCTTCTTTCATGAGAGACTGAACAAAAGGAGCGGGCACCCATGCAAAATCTGAACCACTTACTTGGTCCTGAAGTCATCTGCAGCCAGCTTGGCATTATCGATCTGCACCACCAGTCTGGCATTTTCAGACTTGGCACACAGGATCTGGGGAATGAGAGGTTGCTGGGTGAGGACTGGAAATAGCTACAAAATCATTAACTTCTTTTAAAATGCTTATAAAGCCATTTTGAAGGTAAAAGGAGGAAGTAAGAATCAAGATGGCCTAGATGCAAGAAACACAGTTCTCTCCCCCAGATTGAGAATCCTGGTGCTTGCCCCCTGCTTAGAGATGACAGCAAGGCCCCTCACCTTCTGCTGGAGCTCCTCAATGGTCCGGAAGTAGGACTGGTAGCTGGGGCACAAGAGGGGCTCCTGCTGCTGGCTCCGCTCCAGGATGCGGCTCTCCAGCTCCGCATTCTCCCGCTCCAGCTGCCGCACCTTCTCCAGGTAGCTGGCCAGCCGGTCGTTCAGGAACTGCATGGTCTCCTTCTCATTGCCATTGAAGGAGCCTTCGCAGAACCAGTTGCAGCTGCCCACATTGGCAGGGATGTTGCAGGCCCCGGGCAGGGTGGTGCCACAGCAGCTGGGGGGCACGCAGGGCCTGGAGGAGCAGCTGGAGCGGAAGCTCAGGTTGGGCAGGCAGAAGTTGTAAGACATGGTACTGGAGGGAGAGAGGTGTCCAGCTGAACACAGAGTCCAAGTTCTCCAAAGAGCTTGTGAGCCTTCTGACTCTGTGGAGCATTTATACCCCATCCCCAGAGGGTGTGGATACAGTATGTAATGTCTTTTTTCTTTTTATTTTTTTCACTGCTTTTCAAATTCCCTTCCCTTCAATCTGTTATTGGCCTTCCTCAGAAGAGTCCCTTGTCCCATAAATTTTTTTACTTGGCTTCCTGTTAAGTCAGAACTACTCTTCAGGCTGTGCACCCATGAAATCAGAGTCTTGCGGTAGACCTTCAAAGAAGCCACACGGTCTAGCCCGAGGATCTGCCCTTGTTAATTGGGAGTTAGTCCATCCAATGACATTCTTTTGTGTTACGTGATCTGGTAAAACCATGATCAAATTCACCTCCTGGCCCACCTGGCATTTCCAGGGAGGAACTAGGATTGAATCAAGGAACAAGTTGCATTAAGGGTCAGAAATGGGTTCCCTTTCCATCTGCTTTGAGACAAGAATCCTTCAATGATGTAGCATCCAAGCCATAGAAGACATGAGGTGGATGAGAGTTGACTCGGGCCACAGCCAAGAAGGATATTTGTGTAATGCCACCTGCCTACCACTCAAAAAGACTGTAAAAGGAAAAGAATCTAAAAAAGAGTGGATATATGTATGTGTGCAGACATGCTCAGCCACTTCAGTAGTGTCCACCTCTTTGTGATCCTAAGGACTGTAGCCTACCAGGCTCCTCTGTCCATGGGATTCACTAGGCAAGAACACTGGAGTGGGTAGCCTTGCCCTCCTACAGGGGATCTTCCAGACCCAGGGATCAAACCCGGGTCTCCAACATTACAGGCAGATTCTTTACGGCTGAGCCACTGGGGAAACCTGGATATATGTATATGCATAACTGATTCACTTTGCTGTATAGCAGAAATGAATGTAATATCATAAAGCAATTTCCCTCCAATTAAAAAAAAAAATTAAAAAAAGAAAAAAATTTAAATAAATTAAAAAAATAAAATTTAAAAAGGTCTGTAGAGAAGGGAGTCCCCTGGAAGCCCAGTGGTTAAGACTCCACACTTCCATTGCAGGGGCCATGGGTTCAATCCCTGGTCAGGGAACTAAAATCCTATATGCTTTGAGGTGTGGCAAAAGAAAAAAGGACTGTAGAGGAATTTTAAAGATAGAGGCTTTGATAATTAGTTTGAGAATGAGAACAAGGAAGATTCTGGAAGAAGAGATCATTTAGAAAGAAGGCTGAGAAAATGCAAGCTGAGAAATCCATATAAATGCATTAAAACTAAGGAAGTCTCTGGAGGCAGGTGTGAGAAAGGAATACGGCTAGGCTTGCAAAACTTTTCCAGTGAGGTATCTAGCCATTGTGTTAAAATAGAGTGAGTGGTAAGTCTAGGAGATGGTCCAAAGGAGCCCCTCAAGCGTGAGAATTTCATGTTGGCTTTAACAGAAAATGTTTTAAAATTTCCAGTTAGACTTTCTAACGTTTTGCCCAATTCTCCAAGTATAATTGACACGCCAGGAAGATGCATCGTACCCTGTCCCAGGCTCCCACCATCAGCCTTACTGGGTTACCTGCTACCTGGTTTAAGAACCAAAGGTTGAAAGGTGCCAAGGGAGGGGGCTCTGTGGTCATGACATTGAATCCAAGGACCTGGGTACCCAGGAGAGAAAATGAGGAGACACAGCTAATGGGAAATTTGCAAGACAATCTTGGAGTCACTGAAGGCACTAGAAGGTCTGAGGAAGGGGTGACCAAAGTTCTGAACATATAAATGTTGCACCACCAGGTACAACCTGCCCCTTGGGGAGCAGAGCCCCAGCCTCCGCTGTGGCTTTGGATGCCCTCCAGAGGCAGTTTTATTGACAGCTTATTGGAGTCCTTCCCCCACCCCCCCCCCCCCCCCNTTCATGATAGTATTCATGTGGTACTCTGCTTTGTCTCGGATGAAAGGTCCTTCATCTACCCTCTCTCCAAGGCCATTATCACCACTTACTATAACGCCATTCAGACCAAAAGCTCCGGACTTATAATAAAATCAAAATCTCTTTGTTTTCCTCCAAGGCAATTAAAGGGGGAGAAATAGGTGGGTCCTGAGGCAAGCATCACTGAGACTTCCCAGAGGAAGGACTCAAGGCCAGGATCTCCTTTCTCACTCATCCAGGCTTGGGATGAGTGGAAAGCCCTGTGAATCAGACTGATGGGCATTTGCTCCTTGGGAACAGCACAAGCCTGCTTCCCCATTCTTGTCAGCCTGCTCCAAAGCACTGGCTTTCCAGCAAGGCACCACAGTCCTGCCTTCCTCCCCACCCAGGGAGCTCAGACTGAATGCCATCAGCATCCTCCAAGCTCTTTGGTCTTATCTACTGATTGGCCTGTTCAGCATCATGGAGGCTTTAAGCTAAGGAGAATGTTTAGGTTCTAAGTATAAGAAGATTCAAGGATTGAGACAAAAAAGCAGACATATCTTGCATACAACGCAGAAAGAGCCAAGAAATGGGAAAAAAAGGGAAGCAGGGAGAGATGTGTTTAATAAGAAAGATAAGAATACAAAGAAGAGGCAAGGAAGGAACCTGGAAGGAATCCTCAGAACCACAACGGGTCATGTTGATCAGACGAAGCTAGCCCATCTTCAAGTGAGGAACCTGGAGGATGGAAAGCTGAGAAGTAACCAAGACAACATAAATGAAGGTACCGAAGAGTGGTCCACCCTGATGAGTGTCCTGAGAGATGTAAATGGAGACTCAGAAGAGATCTCCAGACATGGGACCATAGTTTCTGAGACCTCGGACAGAAGTGACATGGTTGCAAGATGTCCAGACCAGAGCATCACCTCTATGATCCAGTCTGAGATTTGTTCGTGGCTGAGAAATGCGCTGTTGTCTACATCCAGGCTGCAAAATGTCTAAAGGGGGATACCTGCCCCTGAATAATAGAGTTATGTAGAAGAGAAAGGAAGAAAGGAACTGGGGTAGTCACACCTGTACATCTTCAGGTCACCGTCAATCGGCAACCACAGAGAAGATGCAGCAAAGAACAGGTTACACCTGTTACCTGCTGGCTTCTCCTGGAGATTCCTTTTTTCCCTGCAGAAGATGAAATGGCACAAGAATCCAGGAGGGAGACAGTGGACAGAAGAACTGGTAAGTAAACAAAAATGCTACCATCCCTTGTAAATCTAGCTCCTTTCTTGCAATGCTTTCAAAATAGCAATAGACTTACGTGAATTTCCTTCTTTAATTAGTGGGGAAGATGGGACTCGAGGGGCTTCCCTGGCGGCTCAGACAGTAAAGAATCTGCCTGCAATGCAGGAGACCTGGGTTCAATCCCTGGATTGGGAAGATCCCCTGGAGAAGGGGATGGCTACCCCCTCCAGTATTTTTTCCTGGAAAATCCTGTGGACAGAGGAGCCTGGTGGGCTACAGTCTATGGGGTTTGCAAAGAATTAGACATGACTGAGCAACTAACAATTTTCATGGGACTCCAAGATTATAAGGTCTCCATGGTCTCACACAGATTAGGAGAAGACTTCAGGTACTCTCTTGATCTCCTAATTGAAATACTTTCAGAGTTTATTCACTCAGAGAGAAACTGAGCAGTCCTGGACTATCAAACCCACAATTTTGCTTAGTTCAGTTTTTTCAAAGCACATTTAAAGAGCAGCTTCTCCATGCTGGGCATGGGATGAAATTGAAACAGAATAATCACAGTTCCTGTAGCAGATTATCTTTTTATGAACAACTCAAACTAACATGGGTCCCCTAAATATATGAGAAATGACAAGAAGATGAAGAGAAGAGATATTTTAAAGATATACGGACATTTGGAAATTTGTTTGTATTTAATGGATTTAGAAAAGTGTATATATGACATTAAGGGCAGTAACCACTTTCTGAACTTCTACTAAGTGCCTGGCATAGTCCCAGGACTGTGGGATGGGGGGCAGAGGGCCAGAGGTGTGTGGGGAGGGGGTACTTGTGGGGGACAGGCAGATGATGTGCTCTCAGTCCTGCTGAGCAGGCAGTCAAGTCTGTAACTAACTCTAATGTACGGTAATATAATTGAGCCATTCACCTCCCCTCAAAAAAAAAAAAAAAAATCATTNCCTCTTTTCCCACACTGGTTCCTACCCCAAACTCCAGTCAGGCCATTTCAGCCCAGTTCATGATTCTCAGCCAGGAGGTGAAGGATGAGGCCATTTCAGATTATCTCCTTGTCCCCTACAGGAGATTTATTGGTGACTCTACTCTCTAGGTAACTCAGAGGTTGGCTTCAAATAACTGATCTCACTAGAACCTTAATCCCTTTAAGAATCTTTTCTTCAACCAGGCTTGGTAATGAGTTATTTTATTTTAATATCGGTTCTTGTTGCTTGGTGGTTCTGCAGCATCCCCGGAAGATCTGTGGTCATTGGGATGAAGTTTCAAAGCAGGTGAAAGAGGCTTCCAGGGATGGGGCGTGTGACAGAAGATAGAAAAGAGGCAATGCTGAGTCAAGCATGTGTAAGATCTTCCTCTTTCTAGAAAAGGGAACAATATTAGAAAGGAGAAATGGAGGTGATGGGTGACCCTGCTGGTAGGTGGACACAGTGGCCACCCTCAGAATCAGTGAGATACTGGTGGTGGAGGCCTCTTGGCAGAGGACCTTGAAGCTCATGTAAACGAACAAACCACATGTTTAGGATGCCTGACAAGCTGGGGGAGGAAAGGGGAAGGAAGGCAAGAGAGGTTTGGGTACAAAAAAATAGCCTACAGGGGGAGCCTCAGCTGAAGGAGGCCAGGAGACTCAACCTGCAATGTGGTGGGTGGAGAGGATGTTGCAGGGTAAGAGGATGCACTGGGAAGATTATCCTTTTGGTGATGCCCAGACGCTGCAAAACCCATCTCAGCCATCTCCCCCCAGACTTATTGCTGTTATTCAGTCACTCAGTCGTATCCAACTCTTTGTGACCCCATGGACTGCAGCACACCAGGCTTCCCTGTCCTTCACCAGCTCCCAGAGCTTGCTCAAACTCAAGTCCATTGAGCCAGTGATGCCATCTAACCATCCAACCATCCCCCTAGCCTTGGAGAGTGTCTATATCTAAAGTTTTATCCAGAGGTACCTCCAGTAAAATTCTTGGCAGTTTGGTTCAGGGTAATGCGCCAGGAATGAGAAGACTTGGATTTGAGTGAGTCCCTAACTTTGAACTTCTTTCACTGCAAAATGCAGACTGTGGAACCTGTTCTGTCTCTCTCAGGGTTTGGGGGTGGGGGCTCAAGTTGGATAACAGATATGAAAGTACTTTGTAAATGGAAATGATGAACATACATACAGGGTTCTATTTCTCTTCTTCTCTACCTGAGTGGACAAAGTGGTCCTAGTGTTGACGGAGAGTAACTGGCCTTCTTTGATGATTTCCCACCATCAAAATCGCCAGGGTCCTCATGCTATTTTCAGATACTATAGAACTTTCATTCTTTGCACCTACCTTTTATGGCATAAATTCTCAGATATGAAAGAATTCTCAAGCACAAACACTGTCTTATTCCCTTCAAGGAAAACAAATCAAAACATTGGTGTGATTACGGTTCTGTTGTCCTGCTGACACAAACGGAGACTTGGCCTCTGTACAGCACAATGGTTGAAAGAACAGTTGCTGGAGGCAGACTATCTGCATCTGAACCCTGGCTTCCCCACTGAGTCGCTGTGTGTCCTTGGGCGTGTTATTTAGCCTTTCTGAGTTTTGGTTCCTCATCTGCAAAACGGGGATAACAATAATATCAGCTTCATAGGATTGATATAGGGTTAAATGAGTATATGTATGTAAACTTATCCCTAACTTAAATTAGTGCCTGGGTAATTAGTAAGAGCTCAGTGACTGTAAGCATCAATGATGATGATAATGATGAAGATATGTAATGACGATGATGATGGTAGCAATGGTGATGATGGTGATGATGATGAAAAAGATAATTGTGGTGGTGATGGTAGTGATGATGGTAATAATGGATTGTTTAGTTTCCAGGGAAGCTCTTCACACCTTCCCAAACATAATTATCTCCTTTACCCAGCATTTCTTCCCAAACCACTTCACACATTCACACACAGACACTCACACACACACAAAATGTCTCATCAAAGCTAATATTTTAATTATAGATGACAAGGCATTGTATATGAACTAAAGAAACACAGGTCAGTCACCTTGAGGCCGCACTGACTCATTTCATGTCCCCAGAAAAATCCCTCCACCACTGAATGACTCACCTCCTCTCCATATCCCTACATGGGAAGAACAATGCTTCCTTCCTCTCTCATGGTGTGAGAGTAAGTGGCTTTATTTTGTTAAATGGCTTTGAACTGGTTGGATGAAAGGAGTTACTTAAGTACAAAGGAAGAAGCAAATGTGTTTGGGCTGGGGAGCTAAATTAAGACTGATTGAGATTGGTCTTTCTTATTGGGACCTACTCTTGGATATGTGTCTCAGGGATGCATCGCCTGTGCCCACACAGCTCTACACTTGGGAAAAGAGCAGAGGCACAGTGAAGGGGCGGGGAGGGAAGGGTGAACAGCCTCTGACCTTCCAGAGCTTCCTATGATGCAAGTCCTGGTGGCTCCCAAGTAAATCAGTCCTGTCTACAGAGACAGCGGCCAACAGGTAGGTTTCCAGGCTTGAGAGCAGTTGGAGGCACAACAGCCAGGTTCTGACTTAAAACCTCTCCATCCCTGAGACTTGGGACTGTGGTCACTCCTGCAGACGATGGGCTGGACTCGGGAGCCATCAGCTAGACTTTGTAAATTTCTCAGCAAGCTACTCTGATTCAGAGAGCTCAAGGAGTAGAGAGGAAGACAAGAACCACCTGCTGGATTCAGTGTATTAGCTCTGCTTGTAGTTTCACTAATAATAAGACCTAGAAAGCGGAAAGTCATCAATTTGAGGGGCTAGAAGACCCTCTACAATCATCTTATCCAGCTTCATCAGATACCTGAGTGACTTCTTCAATGTCTTCACCGCACGGTTATAAAAGCCCTCTTTGAATACTTCCAGTGATGCGCGACTCACTACTTACTACTTGGCCAGGTCTGATGCTGCTTTCTGCAGACATGCTCTTCTTAGCCATGGCTTCCTAAATATGGAGCTTCTGGTTCATGTGTCTATTGACTAGATTTCCAAGCTCAGCAGCCAGAAGGACTTGCCAATGGAGCCTGTAGGGGAGCTTGGGTGGGTGAGTTTGGCGTTTTCTAGATTGATATAGTGACCAGCTCAGCAATTACCATTGCTTAACATGTTAACCACTAACTCAACGGGATCATGAGTTCCTCATCCATGGGATCAGGAGAGTAAGGCCCATCCCTTCTACAGTGATCTCACTTCCCAAATAAACCCCCTAACAGTGGTTCTTAAACTTGATTATGCATAGAATCACCTGGAAGGCTCAATGAAACAGACTGCTTATTCAGAAAGCCTGGGGATGGGGCCCAAGAAGTTGCATTTCCACCAAGTTCTCATATGATGCTGGTATTACCGGTTGGAGGACCACAATTTTAGAACTACTTTCATAAACATTCTCACGTTTAATTTTTGCCTCTTCAAAGCTTCCAAAATATGGACTTTGGATATAGTTCAAAGAAACTGGGCTTCAAGCCTTGATTCCCAGCTGAAAATGGTAACAGCCACTCCCTCTTTGCAGGGTTTTTGTGGGACCCTGTGTCCCAGTGTTTATAAAGCCCCAACACGATGCCTTGCTCATAATGAGCGTGTGATCACAAAAGCCTACTTTAAGGAGAGTATTCTGGAGGGGCCAGCAGAACCTCTGACCTGAGTTTTTCCTTTGCTCAAGGACCAGCTGGGTTCAGCCAGATAAAAAGGTGGGTACGTGGGGGGTTATTTAGTCTGTATGTTTAAAGCTCTGCAGTCTGGCTCTGTGATCATGCTTGGTCTGGTCAAGAGCTAGGTATCTCTCACCTGTGCCATTTTGCTGCACTCTCATATTTTAGCCACAGTCCTCACTGGCTTTGCCATCTCCCAGAACCACCCTGGTGAGTAAACCACAATCTCTGCTTCTACGTGAGTGACTGGCTCAGGGAGCTCTGCAGGATCACTCTCAGCATCGCTCAGCATGGGATGAAGGAACAGACCCTCAGGCACTGGGCTTCTTATGCTGCAGAAATGAAGTTTATTAGCAAATTAAAAGCAAGGTCTGAAAGACCAGGAGGCAGCAGAAGAGAGAAAATAGAGCAGTCAGGACACTCTGAAAGGAGGAAGGACAAATCCAAGGGCCAGGGCTGAGCAGCTGGACCAGAAAGCCCATCAATAGAGAAGCTGTGCCCGCCTTCAGTCTCCTCCTAGGCTGACTGGGGCAGAAAGGCCTGGGGTGGAAGGCCTGGAGGACGGAGCCAAGGAACTACAGGTGATTGCCATTTTCTGGCTCCTCCAGGTGACGAGTAATTCAGCATCGAGGTGATGAGCAGGGCCCAGAAGGCCCAGAAAGGCGGGGAGAACAGGAGGTACAGGCTGAAGGGCCCACACAGGTGCTGGAGACTGGGGTCGCACATGGGTTGCAGGGGAGCCTGTAGAGAGAGAAAAAAAAAAGTGTTTAAACATTGGCATGAACTGTGGTGCTGGAGAAGACTCCTGAGTCCATTGGACAGCAAGGAGATCAAACCAGTCGATCTTAAAGGAAATCAACCCTGAATACTCATTGGAAGGACTGATGCTGAATCTGAAAGTACAATATTTTGGTCATCTGATGCAAAGAGCTGACAACTGGAGAAGTCCCTGATGCTGAGAAAGATTGAGGACAGAAGGAGAAGAGGGTGTCAGAGGATGAGATGGCTGGATGGCAACACGCTTACAATGGACATGAACTTGGGCAAACTTCAGGAGATGGTAAGGGACAGAGAGGCCTGGTGTGCTAGAGTCTATGGGGTCACAAAGAGTTGGATATGACTGAAAGACTGAATGACAACAATGAATGACAAGTACATGAAAGTCCAAAATAAATAGGCACTTTAGAACTGAAAGAGCAGGGGACTTCTCTCATGGTTCAGTAGCTGAAACTCCATGCTCCCAGTGCAGGGGGCCTGGGTTTGATCCCTGGTCAGGGAACTGGATGCCACATGCCTCAACTAAGAGTCCTCATGCCACAGTGGCAGAACCCACATGCCACAGCTTGAAGATCCTGCATGCCACAACAAAGACTGAAGATCCTACGTGCTGTAACTAAGACCTGGTGCAGCCAAATAAAAAAAATTTGGAAGCACAAAGCAGAGCTTAGGCCATACAGGTCCCTCTAAGCCTAGAAAGGGGAGGGAGGGACTGTCCCGAGTTCTCAGTGAGGCTGTAGCCAGAGCTCAGAGCGCCTTGTTCTAAGCCAGTGATCTCTCCCACAAGGAAAGGAACACAGCAGAGAGAAAGGCAGAAAGCAAGTGGAACAGGAACAGGCCAAGGCCAGCCACTCTCTCAATCTAAACCCAGCCCCTAGGGGCTTCCCAGGTGGCTCAGAGGTAAAGAATCCACCTGCGGACACAGGAGACCCAGAAGATGAGGGTTTGATTCCTGGGTCAGGAAGATTCCCTGGAAAAGGAAATGGCTACCCACTCCAGTATTCTTGCCTAGAGAACCCCAGAACCCAGAACCCCAGGAGCCTGGTGGGCTACAGTCCACTGGGTCACGGAAAGTCGGACACAATTCAATGATGAAACAACAACAAAGCATTTATAAACACAGCCCCTGATCCTGTTCCTGACTGCTCATGGGGTATACCATCTGTCCACCTATGTCATAGTGCTACTGAGAAACTAAAAATGAGGTAATAGGCATCAGTGCTCCATGCAATATTTTTAAATGCTGAAAGTGATGCTCCTGGGATATTCCAGAAGGAATTTAGCAAAACCTAAATGTACTGGACCCTCAGTATGTTAGCCCCTGTGGGAGTGACTAGCACCTAGAAGCGTAACATGGATGGCATGAGTTTCAGAATTCTTACACACCTTCCTCTGTGTCCAAGCAGCACCAGGCTTGCTGGGAGGCAAGTTTGTCCTCAGAGGTAGAATCTGCAATGCCACTCCCTCCTTTTAGTTCATTCCCAATAAGAGGTTTCTGCTTTTACACATGATATTGACATAAACAATATCAGGCTACATACTTGCAGTCCTCGTTTTCCAGAAGGTTCCGGTATGTGGCAATCTCACCCTCCAGCCGGGCCTTGACATCCAGTAGCACCTGGTACTCCTGGTTCTGCCGCTCCAGGTCAGCCCGGATCTCAGACAGCTGCTCCTCTACGTTGCTGATGAGGCTCTGCATCTGGGCCAGCTCGGTGCCGAAGCGGGCCTCAGATTCACACAGTGAGTTCTGCAGACAGTCCTTCTGCGATACCAAAGAAAGAGGGGATGAGGTTAAAAGCCACGGACCCTGTCCTCAACCCCTTCAGACCATGAGACCCCAAGCCGTCGTCAGGCCCAGAGAGCAAGTCCTCAGCAGCAACAACTAACAATGCACTGTGGCTCTTCATCATAGACCTTAGGAGAGGTTTGCAGAACCTCCCTCACTGCATGAATGTTCATTTCCTCAGCATCCACACACACTAGAGAGTTCTTGCAAAGGCAAAGAAAGTAAAAGTCACTTAGTTGTGTCCAACTCTTTGCAACACCATGGACTATACAGTTCATGGAATTCTCCAGGCCAGAATAATGGAGTGGCTAGCCTTTCCCTTCTCCAGGGGATCTTTCCAACCCAGGGATCAAACCCAGGTCTCCCGCATTGTGGGCAGATTCTTTACCAGCTGAGCCACTCCCAAGAATACTGGAGTGGGTAGCCAATTCTCTTCTCCAGTGGATCCTCCCAACCCAGGAATCGAACCGGGGTCTCCTGCATTGCAGGATGATTCTTTACCGACTGAGCCATCAGAGAAGCCCAAAGGTAAAGAAGTCAAGGTAAAAGGTGGGTCCTTAGACGATATCTAAGTGAGGCATGTACTGAATCTGGGGACTGCCCATGAGAAGTGGGAGCCCACCTGAGTCTTCCACACTCCCAGAGGAACTCACCAGCGTGTGCTGAGCCTGCAGCTCCACCTCCAGGGTGTTCACCGTGCGTCGAAGCTCCAGGATCTCCGACTGGCAGCATTGCAGCTCCTCTGAGCAGGACATGGCCTGCAGGCTGATGCCTTCAGACTATAGCACAAGCACATGGAGAAGTGATCACCTCCCTAGCCAGATGCAGCGGATCCCTCCCTGCTCTGCAGCACCGCCCTCACCTGAGTTTGGAACCACTGCTCCACGTCACGGAGGTTGGTCTCCACCATGGCCTCGTACTGGCCCCGCATCTCCTCCAGCACCCTGCCCAGGTTCACAGTGGGTTCCACGTCCAGCTCAATCTTGAGCTTATCTCCCAGCTGACACTTCAGAGTGTGGACTTCCTGTGGACATAGGAAGACATCCCGTTGGTGGGACTCCTGCTGGCCTCCACTCAGAGCCTCAGCTCCCACTTCCCATCTGCTCCAGCGATTTCCCTGCACTCCTCTGAGGATGAGGCCCTGCCTGCATCAGTGTGGTAGTTTCCAAAGCCATTCAGTGGGCCACCTCCCTGTGAAAGCCAGAACTCCCCTTCAAGGCTTAACCACAAGGCACAAGCATCTACCCTGAGCAGGAGGAAGAGCCTCATTGCTTCCTCTGAAGAAGCCTGAATTCACCCCAGGACATCTCCATGTGCCACCCAAAGGGCCCCTGCACCTGCTCATGGTTCTTCTTGAGGCAGAGCAGCTCCTCCTTCCAGGACTCCAGCTGAGCCTCCAGATCAGCCTTGGCGAGTGTGAGGTCATCCAGCACCCTGCGCATCCCGCAGACATCAGCCTCCACCAGCTGGCGGAGGGAGTGCTCTGTCTGGAACCTTCAAGGGCAGATGCAGAGATTGGGGTTAAAGAGAAGAGAGCCCATGGGACACAACCCACAGGGTGATTCACTGGCCTTCCCTCTGCTGTCCAGTTGTGAGTTGGCATTGCCTGGGTCATGCACTCACAGAAACTGTAAGGTGATTCTCACTCATTCAACACTAAGCACCTAGGGCAACCAGGCAGAGTGGCCGGTCCTGGGGATACCAGGGTGGCCGGCGGAGAGTGCCACTCTCGAGGGCAGATGGCCAAAGTGGAAGCAGCGGAGTAGCCATACAAGTGGGCTCACTGCAGACCCTCATCTTCCATGCCCCCCGACTGAGATGGACCCTGGACTCTTTCCCAGATTAGGAGCCAAGGATGGGAGGAAGCTTCCTTCACCCTGGGGGAGTGAGGCATCCACAGTGCCCAGAAGAAAGACAATGGAATATAATGTCCTTCCTGCTGCCCCGCTGGGCCCTCTCAGGGAATGTAAACCCTCTGACCTCCACAAGGCTCCAGACTCCCGATTTCTATCATGAATTACTAGTACTCACAAACTGGTGGAGCTGCATTGTGGAGATACATATTATACCAAGGCAGTAGAATTTCTTAGGAAATGACCTTGGATAGGAAATGAGGTGGTGAGTTCTGGTTCTATTGCTCAACAGCCATGTGACTTCCAGTTGGCAAGTCCTCTCAGGGATCTGGACCCCATGTCCTCAGAAAACAGATGCCAGCACTGCCCTGCCCACCTCACTGGGTTCCTCTTACATAGAATCAAGTGGAGGAAGCGTTTCAAATCACATTATAAACTATAAAGGCTAAACAATTGCAGGGGGCCAGGGGTGTTTTCTCAAGACCTTGACTTAATGCCCTCTGTTTATGTCAGCTGTATCTGTTGGTTTGGGATCTTGGTCGATTGCATCTCTGATACCAGGAGCATCACCAGAGAGACAGCAAGGTAGGCATCTGGCTCCTCCCCTAAGTGTGCTACCCCAACTCACTTGGTCCTGAAGTCATCTGCAGCCAGTTTGGCATTGTCTATTTGCACGACCAGCTTGTTGTTCTCAGATTTGACGCACAGGATCTGGGGAAAGAAAGTACGCTCAGGGATTCATTTATTCCCAGCATCACCTATGGCCTCAGTCAAAAGAAGAGCCATTGGCTGGGTTCAATCTACAACATCGCCTTGACAGCACAAACTCCCAAACGCATGAGTGATGCTGGTGTGGCTGGGAGGGGCACACGCAAGAGGACGCATGACAAAGGGGGAAGGTGTAGAGCCAAAGGAAGCAAGAGGTGGGAGATAGTAGCAAACTGAACGCATAGCTAAGACTTATTAATTTGCTAGATCTGAGGCTTAATCTTATACAAACAAGAAGAGCTAGAATCTAGGCCACAGAACGATGGGTTGGTTATGAAAGTTTCAGGTAAGATGGAATCCATTCTCTTTAAACTTTTTTTTCCTTGAAATATAGTTGATTTACAATGTTGTGCCAGTCTCTGCTATAGAACAAAGTGACTCGGTTATACATATATATACATTCTGCTTTATATTCTTTTCCATTACGGTTTATCACAGGATATTGAATATGGTTCCCTGTGCTATATATTAGAACCTTGTTGTTTATCCATTTTCAATGTAATGGTTTGTCATTATCAGCCCCAAACTTTTAGTCCATCCCTCTCTCTTCCCACCATTCCCTTGACAACCACTAGTCTGCTCTCTATGTCTGTGAGCCTATTTCTGTTTTGTAGATAGGTTCATTCTGCCATATTTTAGATTCCACATATAAGTGATATGATATAGAATTTGTCTTTTTCTGACTTACTTAGTGTGATAATCTCTAGTTGCAACCATGTTGCTGGGAGTGGCATTATTTCACTCCTTTAATGGTTAAGTAATATTCCGTTTTGTATATGTGCCACATCTTCTTTATCTATTCATCTGTTGATTGCCATTTAGATTGTTTCCATGTTTTGGATATTATAAATAGTGCCACTATGAACACTGGGGTGCATGTATCTTTCTGATCCTGAATTATATTTTTGTCTGGGTATATTCCCAGGAATGGAATTACTGGATCATATGATAATTCTATTATCATAATTCTATTCTGTTAGAATTCGTTTTCTGGGAATCTCCATACTGCTTTTCATAGTGGCTATATCAACTTACCCTTAAGGTAGGATCCATTCTTAATAAGTTGTCTCTACCACTGGTTGGTCAACCTCCTCAAAGTTCTTCTCTGAATCTAGCCATAGCTCCATGGCCCTTATTTTGACATTCTTTGTCTTTCTGTCTCCAAAACTAAGTAAGCTCCACAGAAGCATTCCATTTATAATGGAAGGGCATAGCAGATATACATAAGAGATTAATGCTACTGAATACACTGGCTCTTAAAGGACGTTAGAACATATATTCCTGACCCCTTTAACTGAAGCAGAACTTAATTTGCACTGTTTTTGCAACTGCAATTGAGGAATTGTAAGGACTGAAACTAAGCGTAAACTCAGAATCCCAGAGAATCAAATGCTGCATCTTATCCTTTACACATTCATATTCACCTTCACTCAAGAGAATCTCTTCCCTCCAAGTCTGCGGTTAGCAGATGCAAACTATTATACAAAGACTGGATAAACAAACTGTACAGCACAGGGAACTATACTTGATATCCTGGGATAAACCATAATTGAAAAGAATATCTAAAAGAATATAGGGACTACCCTGGTGGTCCTGTGGTTAGATTTCTGCAGGGGATACAGATTTGATCCCCGGTGGGGGAGCTAAGATCCCACATGCCTTGCAGTCAAAAAACCATAACATTAACAACAGAAACAATACTGTAATATTTCAATATTTTTAAAAAATTATCCACATCAAAAAATTTTAAGAATATTAAAAAGTATATATGCATAAGTTAATCACTTTACTGTACATCAGAAATTAACAGAACATTGTAAGTCAACTACACTTCAATTTTTTAAAAAATCAGTTACAGCTGATTCGACCATCAATCCAGGCCCTGAACATTTAGTGCAAAGGCCAGTCATCTTTTTCTGTAAAAACCCAGACAGTTAATCTTTCAGACTTTGCAGAACATGAATCTCTATCAGGACTACTGGACTCTGCCATTGGAGCAATAAAAGCAGCCAGAGACAGTACCTCAATGAATGAGCATGGCTGTGTACCAATAAAACTTTATTTACAAAGTCAGGCAAGAGGTTGACTTTGGCCTAGGAACTGTTGTTTGCCCACCTCTGATGGGAAGCATCACAAACCTCACCTTCTGCTGCAGCTCCTCGATGATGCGGAAGTGACTCTGGTAGTCCGGACACACGGTGGACTCAGGGCATTTGCTCAGCTCTCGGATCTGGCTCTCCAGCTCCGCGTTGTCCCGCTCCAGCCCGCGCACCTTCTCCAGGTAGCTGGCCAGCCGGTCGTTCAAGAACTGCATGGTCTCCTTCTCGTGGCTGTTGAAGAAGCCTTCATTGAAGGTCCCGCAGATTCCGATGTTGCCTGGAATGTCGCAGGTGCCCGGCAGGGGGCAGGCAGCGTCGCAGCTGTGGGGCAGACAGAGGCTGGGTCGACCGAGACGGGTTGTGCCCACTCGGACTCGATTGGCGTGTGCCAGGGTGGCCGAGAGGCCCAGCGGGGCGGCCCCGGCCTGTGAGAGCGGCCCACTGAGGAGAGAACTGCAGCTGATGGAAGTCATGGCCAAGATTCTTGCTTTGTCCACAGCTGGATTTGCTCGAGTTTGAAACCTCCCTTCTTCCCTAGACCTTATATAGGCCTGTCGTGGGCGTTGGTACAAGAAAACTGGCGTTTTCCTCATGAATATGTATATGGATTCTTAAACAATCGCGCTATTAGTCAGTTGAGTTTGTCCCCTGTAAAGAGTTAATGAGCTCATGAAAGAGGCCATGACCCACACAGCCTCCCCTGACCGCAGGGTCCTAGAAAATAGGGAAAATGAGGTGTCTTTGAGTTGCCATGTCCTGCGGCTTTTGTCTCTCACCAGTCTGTCCACTGATCCCTGTGAAGGCATGGAGAACCAGAGCATCCAACAGTGTCCTCAAAATCGCTCTCACTTACTCTTTTCCTGCCACGGAATGATCCCATCATGGCAAGTTTAAAATATTAATCGATCATGCACACTAAGGAAAGGAAAAAGTCAGGAGTTCATTTCAGCTGATTGGTGTGGACTGCGCATTGTGGGACACTGTTGTAGGGAGGGAGTTAGATTTTAATAAGAAGGATAAGGAACTTAGTGATCTTGATATTAAAAAGGCAATGAGAGAGAATGCTGGAAAATAATTTTTTTAATTTAAAAAAAATTCTTAAAGAACTATGATGATTTTAAGTAGAAGAAAACACATTGAGAGACCAGAAAGACTTCATAGAAAAGCAAATGTTTAAATTATTTTTCTATTTATTTATTTTTGGCTGTGCTGGGTCTTCATTGCTGCTTATGGGTTTTCTTTGTTTGATGAGCAGGGGCTACTCTCTGTTGTGATGTGCGGGCTCTAAGAGCACAGGTTTAATAGTTGTGGTGTACAGGCATAGTTGCCCTGTAGTATGTGGGGTCTTCCTGGACTAGGCAGGGATCGAGCCCATGTCCCCTGCATTAGTAGGCAGATTCTTAACCACTGGACCACCAGGGAAGTCCAATAGCAACATTTGAAATGTGTTTTGGGGACTTCCATGCTGGTCCAGTGGTTAATACCTTGCCTCCAAATGCAGGAGGTGTGGGGTTCAATCCCTGGTCATGGAGCTGAGATCCCACATGCCTCATTGTCAAAAAATCAAAACATAAAACAGAAGAAATGTAGTCACAAATTCAATAAACACTTTTAAATAGTCCACGTCAAAAAATAAAAATAAATGTGCTTTGAATGATGGCTTCCAGAAAGTGTTGGGGGGAAGAGCATTTCTCATAGAAAACAAAATGAACAGAATGAAACATGTTTGAAAAAGGGAAAATAGTCTACTTGTGTTGGTACTTACTATGAAGACTATGAAGACTCTATGCTAACACTGGAAAGTTATGTTCAGTCCAGGTTGTTGGAAGCTTTGAATGCCAGGACCATTTCATATTTAGTCTTCAGTTAAGGGGAGTCAAAGACAGGGAACTTGCCCTGGAAGCTGATTCTCCTCAGATCTGAGGGAAAATAAATATCCAGGTCCCTTTAGAATGAAATTAACAGAAAAGAGATGGAAGTTTCCTATGTAAATATGAGGGGAAAATACTAGGCCAGACAATGAAAAAGAAACCTAAATTCCAAGCTGATTTTGGTGGTTGAAAACTGAATAACACACTTTTTAAAAGAAACTTTTTACTTTGTATTGGGGTATAGCTGATTAAACAATCTTGTGATAGTTTCAGGTGAACAATGAAGGGACTCAGCCATACTTGTTCATGTATCCATCTTCCCCCAAACTCCCCTCCCACCCAGGCTGCCACATAACATTGAGCAGAGTTCCATGTGCTCTATAGCAGGTGAAGGGATACTTAGGGAGTTTGGGATGGACATGTACACACTGCTATATTTAAAATGAATAACAAGGACCTGAATAACACACTTTTTGAGAATCCATGAGCCAAAGTCAAATGAGAAATTAAAGCATTTTAAACTAGGTTAAAATGAAAATATAACTAATTTTGGCAATTTAGACTTTCCCTATACACGTGTAAAGCATAATTTTTGGAATTGGGAAAAAAACTAGTGAATGAAACTAGGTAATTCAAAATTCTCAAGAACTTAAATTATGCTCCTGTGTATTGGCGTCCATAGGCTAATTAAGGTGGGCATGGTTAGTACTTTTTGATGTCTGTTCTCAGATGTCTCCCCCTGCTTTCTGGCATCTTCGCTTGTTAGACGCTGGTCCTCTCATTGACTGACTTCTTCCTCATCTTATTTAAGAAGATATACACTCAAGAACTTTGATCTTTCATCTTTTGAAACTTCCTGTGTTTTCTTTGAAAGTCACTTACCTTGGTTGTCCGTGACTCTAGGAGACTCTAGAAAAAATTTGAATGTCCTTAATCTTCAGACACACTCAGAGGATCAGAAGATTTATGGCCTCCTCTGTTCCTCAAACAAACAAAGTGGCCAGTTGTTCAATAACCTCTGGAAAAGGGCAGCTAGCCAGCTTCCAGGCTATGCTAACGAAGATGCTACCTTGACCCCACTCCTAAGATGAGTGAATTCACCACGAGGGCCCCTGAGGCAGCAGTACATATTTTGTTGTTATTTAGTCATTCCATGTTGTCTGACTCTTGTGCAACCCTGTGGACTGTAGCCCGTCAAGCTCTTTCTGTCTGTGGGACTTCCCAGGCAAGAATACTGGAATAAGTTCCCATTTCCTTTTCCAGGGGACCTTCCCAACCCAGAAACCATTAGATTCCCCAGCAAAACCTCTTGCCCAAGCCCCTCATGTGAACTATGCTGATGTCACCACAACTCTCCTGGGCACCAGCTGCTTCCATATACAGTTAATGAGACCCTTGGGGACACTTCCCCCCATAACTACACCATGTACAGATGTGAGCAATATTCACTGAGGTGTCTTGTCCCAGTGACCTTCTCCAAATGATCTATTACTCATGAGCTCCTAGCCCAGCAAAACTCTCTCCAAGCACCAGAGGCAAAGCAGAGAAACTCCCACCTCTCAAAAAATTCAGAGCAGAAAGAGAAAAAGGTCATGTAACTCAGAGAAGGAGAGGTCACGGAGAGCTAGAAATGTAGGGGGACATCAGAGAGACTGGATCTGGAACCTTAAAGATAAGTAGATTTGGACAGACAAAGAGGATTTTCCAAGAAAAAAAAAAAAGGCAAACACAGACACTCTCAGAAAGCTGTGCAGATGGGCTCAAGAGAAGCACTGTGCAACCTCAGAAATGTGAGGTTGCAGCCAGCAGCGGTCTGCCCCGAATGACACAAAAACATAGCTCTGAAGACTCACAGTTTGCGCTAGTGGTAAAGAACCCACCTGCCAATGCAGGAGACATAAGAGACCTGAGTTCAGTCCCTAGGTTGGGAGATCCCCTGGAGGAGGGCCTGGAAATCCACTCCAGTATCCTTGCCTGGAGAATCCCATGGACAGAGGAGCCTGAGAGGCTATACTCCATAGGGTCGCAAAGAGTCAGACACAATTAAAGTAACTTAGCGCACATGTAGAGAGTCACAGAGCATTTCTAAGGCCAATTTAAACTGAAACTCAGGCTAATTCATGGCTAAAAATGTGGTCTCCTATTTTTGTAACATCTGCACAGGTGACTCTCAAACTTTAGCCAACATCAGTACACCGTGTGCTTCACATATAACCATCTCTCTTTTTTAAATACATTATTTTAATTAACCTTTACAACTATTGCTTACTTGTTGCTTCTTTTGTGTATGTGCTCAGTTGTGTCTGACTCTTTGCAACTCTATGGACTGTAGCCCACCAGGGTTACAGAGGGTGCATGGGCTTTCCCAAGCAAGAATACTGAAGCTGGTTTCCATTTCCTTCTCTAGGTAACCATATCTTAATTATAATTACACTGCAGAGTAGTTTCAAGCATCCCATTGTAAAATAAGGAAAAACTCAGAGCAATTAGGTAACTTGCCTGAGCTCACAAACCTTGAAATATTAGCTCAAGTCTGCCTGCCTCTCAAGTCCAGGTTCCTTGTCTCCGAACACCAAGTCAAAGCCCCTAGATCTTAGCCACAGAATGTCCAATAGACCCATCTGATCACTCTAATCATTCAACAGACAGGTACCAATTTCCTGCTCTGGACCATACACTCAGCTAAGGAGCTGGAAACACAGCAGGGGACAGAACAGAGTTCTCCAGTGGTTTTTGAGCAAAAGGGAGCAATGATGAAAGTAGCAGTTCAGGAAACTTAATCTAGTACAAGTATGCACCCTGGGGTAGGAACACTGAATCTCCATTTTGTGTGCTCTCTAGTACATAATTCAGTGCCTGGTACAAAATACATGCTTCAGTTCAGTTCAGTCGCTCAGTCGTGTCTGACTCTTTGTGACCCCATGAATCGCAGCACGCCAGGTCTCCCTGTCCACCACCAACTCCCGGAGTCCACCCAAACCCATGTCCATTGTGTCGGTGGTGCCATCCAACCATCTCATCCTCCATCGTCCCCTTCTCCTCCTGCCCTCAATCTTTCCCAGCATCAGGGNCATGATCTTAGTTTTCTGAATGTTGAACTTTAAGCCAATTTTTCACTCTCCTCCTTCACTTTCATCAAGAGGCTTTTTAGTTCCTCTTCACTTTCTGCCATGAGGGTGGTTTCATCTGCATATCTGAGTTTATTGATATTTCTCCCAGCAATCTTGATTCCAGCTTGTGCTTAAGAAATGTTAAATGGAAGGGTGAAGGGCTGGAGGTGTGTGCAGGATGAACTTGGCAGAGAAGGGATGAGGCAGAGGAGGCTTTTAAAGAATCCAGACAGCATGTGATAGAAACCAAATCCAGCCGCCTGCAGTGCCATCAGAAAGAAAGGGATGGAGAACAGAGATATTACAAAAGAATGCTACAGGTCTGGGCCATGTGCTTTATATGGGGGTGGGGTCAAAGGAAGGACTTCCTCAAAGGAAGGAGGAACCCCAAAAGTGTGCTTGAGGTCACCTCTGGGTTCCTGGGGCAATAAGGTAATGTGAAAGGAAGCTGAGAAGTCAAGGCAGAGAGCTGGCTTGAGAGGAAGAAGCCGAGTTGAAGTTTGGAGCCTGTGAATGAAATGTGGTTAATAGCGGCTGCCCAGCAGGGGGTCGGAGATAAAAGCCTGGAGCCAGGAGAGATAAGTCTGGATTCTTTGGAGGGACAGGGAAACTCTTCGCAGATGCAGATATTGATATTTATTACACCTGGCAGGCAGGTACAATGGCTTGATTTAGCCCAGGGGCTCATATTCAAGCCAGCAGTGATGGTCAGTGAGAGTCTCTCCTCCCTTTGCTAAAACTGGAGGGATGGCAGTCTCCAAACAGGTGGCAGGGAAGATAGTTTGCTTGGAGGGCATGTCATCTGAAAACAATCACAATCTGTTTTATAACTGAACTGTCACTAGTTTGTATTTATATTTTTGAAAGTTAAAACAATTTTAAGTAAAAAGGTGGGGTTTTTTCCATATATATTAAACGAAAAGACATGGTTGAAAAACATGTAATTAGATAGGAAAAAGACAGAAAAATGGTTCAACAAGATGAGCTCATGAAAATTATTGTTAGTGGGCTTCAGAAGAGGCAAATTTGATTTTGTTCTTAGGAAGATGTTGTTCAGTGGCTAAGTTGTGTCCAACTTTTTGTGACCCCATGGACTGCAGCACGCCAGGCTTCCCTGTCCTTCACCATCTCCCAGGGTTTGCTCAAACTCATGTACACTGAGTCGGTGATGCCATCCAACAATCTCATCCTCTGTCGCCCCCTTCTCCTCTTGCCCTCAATCTTTTCCAGCAACACGGTCTTTTCCAATGAGTTGGTTTTTCACATCAGGTGGCCAAAATGTTGGAGCTTTAGGTTCAGCACCAGTCCTTCCAATGAATATTCAGGACAGATTTCCTTTAGGATTGACTAGTTTGATCTCCTCGCAATCCATAAAGGAGAAGAAGGCGAAGTGGAGCCTTAAAGTCTCTTATCATGGGCCATCCAAAAAAAAAAAAAAAGATGTCTAAATGAAAAAATGCTCCTATTATGGAAAGTCTAGAATTCCACCTCAGTTTTCTTGTCCTGCCAGCATAGACAGTGGTGGGAGCAGAAGTGTGGGTTCTTTCCCAGAGCTCTCTGTGTGGGCCAGCATCCACCCCAGGGGCCTGCAGGCAGTCACGCTTACACCTTTCCACTTTGTTAGCATTTGGGGTAAATACCATTTGGAGTCAAAACACAGGTGATGAATGGAGTGGGCTGCAGAGACTAAATTGGTGTTATTACGTGAAGCTTGGAAAGAACTATTACAGATGAGCATCTTGGTAATACAGGGCTGGTAAACAGAAAACTAATGGCCTTACTTACTAGGTGGCTCAAAACTGGACCTGGTCCCAAGCCAAGGGAGCAAAAATCTCTGGGGAAAAAAAATAATCAATCCACATGGCCAAAATTTTTGTGGCCCAAGTAAAACCAGATACTGAATTCAGGGCCCATATCAGTCTAATCCATGAGGGTAGTGTGATATGGGGAGACCAGAGAGAGGAACCTAGTGGCCAGGTGGGAGAATCACCTTTAAGAAGAGGAGTCCTTGGGATTTGGTACCAGAGGGAGTCCTGAGTCCTCTGGTTGCAAGAATGGATATGAGTGAAAGCACAATGTCCAGGTGTCCTGGGCCAGAATGGTCACCATCTGCCAGCCTCCTCGGCCTGCAGTCCCCTATATCTGAACAACCTTTTCCTCCACACCTCATAGCCCTGGGGGTCCCAGAATTAGAGTTCATTCAGGATGTGACCTGGTCAGGCACGCAGGGTACTGGCCAGACTTCCATGGCCAATCACATGGTGGTCATGGCCACTCCTTACAACATATGACATTTGAGTTACTTGTTAGAAGAAAGCCCACGGGAGCCCCCAGGACATTATTGTCCTCTGACTGCCCATAGAAAGCTTTCTGATCTTGGTTAGGCCACTTGGAGTGGAAAACTGAGCTCCAGAAGCAATAACATTATTGTTTATAAATGGCCAAAGAATACAGCAAAGCTTCCAGCCCACCCACATGGGAATGCATGGCCCCTGGTGCTGCTAATGGGTTCTGTGGCCACCTCTCTAGCTCCTCTGTCCCTCTAAGAAGGAAAAACTATCCCTGCAGTTTTCCAGGGAACCCCATAAACAGATATGCCACAAGCACCTTCTGTATGACAGGAGCACCGTACAGATTATCCCTCAACAACAGGGAGAGGGAAGTACAAGGTTTCTAATTTTACCACTGAGGAATCAGTCTCAAGAGTGTGTAGTGACCTGGCCAATTTCACTCAGCTAGTGTCACAGAGGTCAGACTGGAACCCAGATCTGTCTGAATCTGGAGCACGTGCTCTTTCCCCCACCCTATGGTACTGTCACCAACCAGGGCTCGTGGCCTCCCACAATCAAAATAAACTGATAAGAGGCCAGACAAGAAATTCAGGTAAGGCGTTATGGGGCTCCTGTAGCTGCGGGAGGGAGCAAAACAAGTAACAGGTTCCCTGGAAGGGAGGGGCAAGGAGGGGCAAACTGGTTCCTTAACATGCAGTGAGAATAGGGGTGTGTCCAGGGGCCACACCAGAGCGGTGGCTTAGATAGTTGGCCCACCCCTTTGGTAGTGTTGAGTGCAGGGGGCATTTGCAATACCCTGCTTTTGCTCCCAACACCCTGTTTTTGTCCCCAGCTCTTCAGAAGCAACAGTTGGTCTTTTTGGTCTTTTTGCTTCTTGTTGTCTAGGCTTTGCCTTAGCTGGGCATGCACACAGTTATTTTTAGTCTCTTATAGTTTCTTTGTATTTTGTTGCTCGAGGAGACATTTGTCTAGGTGCATGGCTTCCCAGGTAGTGCTAATGGTAAAGAGCCCGCCTGCCAATGCAGGAGAAGGCGGGTTTGATCCCTGGTCAGGAAGATCCTCTGGAGGAGGGCCTGGCAACCCACTCCAGTATTCTTGCCTGGAGAATCTGATGGACAGAGGAGCCAGGTGGGCTACAGTCCTTAGGGTAGCAAAGTGTCAGACACAACTGAAGCGACTTAGCACACACTCACACATGCGTGCATTGCAGTAGGGGGTCCCAGGTCCCAGCCTGTCTCACTACCATGGAGAATTGACTCTGAACTGGTCATTGGACCAGGGTTCAAGAGTAAGCTGAGACCTGAGACTTTCATTCTCCTGGACCCGCTCAGCATGTATATGCCGAAAGCTAAATTGACTAGCACAGCAGAGAGAGAATAGAGCCTCTCGGGTGCTGTTCCCTCTCTGCTCTTCCACCGTGTCTGGCTGGGAACCATCTTGGCCAGGTCAGAGCCATGTCCAAGAAGCAGACCGCACTCACGCCAACTGCATTCCTCACTCCAGTACTTCGAAGGCAGCAGCAGAGGAGACAAGCCTATACAAAAGTGGCAGCATCTGTCTAGAGAAAAATATAAACAGGAGGTGGGCCGGGACCAAGAAAACTGTCCCCGGAACCCAATCTGGGCTGCCATGTCTAAGAGAATAGATGAGGATCCCATGCCTTCATGAAAGGGTAGTAGTGTAGTGTTAGTCGCTCAGTCATGTCGAACTCTTAGCAACCTCACAGACTGTAGCCCACCAGGCTCCTCTGCCCGTGGGATTTTCCAGGCAAGAATACTTGAGTGGGTTGCCATTTCCTCATCTAGGAGATCTTCCTGACCCAGGGATCGAACCCGGGTCTCCCACATTGCAGGCAGATTCTTTACCATCTGAGCCACCAGGGAAGCCTGCCTCCATGAAAGGGGCCAATTTAAATAAGAAAAAACTTGGCAACTTGGCCAGGGCAGCTCTCAACATGACCTCCTTTTGACCAGACTGGAACTCTGAGTTGTGTGATTTTTGCCCTTGGACAAAATACCAAGAGGCTGAAGATGCCAAAAGCACAGTAGGGACATGTTAGTTCTGAGCTGTTCTGAAGGAATTCAGGTTTGGCAACGAATACCGCTTCCCTTCACCAGTCAATTGAGATTGAAGGGCAAGGTATGTACACATCCCACTGTCAGCAAAGGGCCTCCATCCAGAGGCTAAGACCCCAGTGCCCCAGAGAGCTCCTGGCAGCGACATGCCAGTACCAGTGACCACCCAAGGTCTTGACAGCCAGGGCTCTTTATCACACCACATACATTGCCAAACACCAGAAGCATGTCATACNAGACCCCAGTGCCCCAGAGAGCTCCTGGCAGCGACATGCCAGTACCAGTGACCACCCAAGGTCTTGACAGCCAGGGCTCTTTATCACACCACATACATTGCCAAACACCAGAAGCATGTCATACAGGAAGGAGGTTTATTGACCACTGAATACAGGAACCCAATTAAATTTGAGGAGATTCCGAAGCACTGGCGTAGAACCAAAATCCCAGAAGAGACACTGGGGAAAAACAATAGCTTTAGTGAAAGACCATTACAACATGGAAACGAAAGGAAAAAATACAGCTTAAGGAACAAACAGGAAACCACTGCTCAGAAGTTATCTGTTACCCTATGATTCAGTGAAAATGCCTCCAGTGGGTTTGGTCTTTTTGGAAGGAAGACTAAGCTGGTGAGGGCAATCCTAGCCCCGGTACAAGAAGCCTGGATCTCCTGCACTGGGACACAGACCTTCAGAACTGGCTCTTAGTGCTGGTGCAGGCAGGCAGAGCACTGCTGGGATGAAGGGTTCTAGAGGCAGGCGTAGAGCAGGGATTGCAAGGGAGTCTGTAGGGAGAGAGAGAGAAGAAAGAGTTGGACCTGGGAGGTGACAAGTATCTCAGTGATGGGCAGAAAGGTAAGACCAAAAGTCTTAAGGACAGGTCCACCAGCAACAAATTGCACAGCCCAATGGTATCAAAAGCAGTCCCCCTTTCACTCTCACTGTATCTCTCCACATCCAGGAGTCCCTTGGTCAGTGTGGCTTAGGGACCCTGCTATCATTCCTGTAACATTCTCTCAGCATTTCAGTCTGCACGCACTAGGAGAGGTGAATGTTTCACTGTGAGAGCACACACAGGGAAGCTTGTTCTTTACAATGAGATCTTCCACAACCACTTCAGTGCTCTGTGGAATGGCTTAGCCAGCAATCGCCTAGATCAGCAATCCCCAACCTTTTTGACACCAGGGACTCATTTCATGGGAGACAATTTTTCCGAGGACTGAGAGTCGTAAAGAAGGGATGGCTTGGGTGGTAATGGGAGTGATGGGGAGCGGCAGATAAAGCTTCATTCATCTTCTGCTCACCTGCTGCTCTATGGCCTGGTTCCTAATGGACCGAGGACCAGGATGGCCCGGGGCTTGGGGACCTCTGGCCTAGATCATACATACTTGCAGTCTTCACTCTCCAGAAGGTTCTGGTACGTGTTGATCTCACACTCCAGCCGGGCCTTGACATCCAGCAGCACCTGGTACTCCTGGTTCTGCCGCTCCAGGTCAGCCCGGATCTCTGACAGCTGCTCCTCCACATTGCTGATGAGGCTCTGCATCTGGGCCAGCTCAGTGCCGAAGCGGGCCTCAGATTCACACAGCGAGTTCTGCAGACAGTCCTTCTATAATAGGAAATAACAGGGTGAGAGACCTAGCTGTCCGCAAATCATGCAGTGAAAATCCTGGCCACACTCACCCACATGGGACTGATTCCAAGAAGTCAAAGGACACTCCTGAGCTCTGGATAAACCACTGTCAATACGGTCAAGACTTTTCATGAAAAAAAAACCTAACTTGAATGGTGTCATGTTTGCCCATGCACTCCCCCATGCCTGATATAGACATTCAGTAAAATCATGAAGAATGAGTGCCTAAATCACCACACCTGATTCTGAAGGAAGTGACTTTTAATGGAAACCATTCTCTGGGTCAAAATAACCTTGACAACAAGGCATCAAGGTTCAGAGGACTCAGATCCTGAGCTCTGACATAACTGTTAATGAAGCTGATTAGTGAGACATCTAAGAGATGCTGCCGTGAGCCCAGGGCCTGTGGCCCTCACGACGTGGTGAGGGTGAGAAGGACCATACCAGGTTGTGCTGGGCTTGGCGCTCCACCTCCAAGGTGTTCACCGTGCGTCGAAGCTCCAGGACCTCTGACTGGCAGCGCTGCAGCTCCTCTGAGCAGGACATGGCCTGCAGGCTGATGCCTTCAGACTGTAGGACAAGCACACAGAGAAGTGATCAATCACCTCCCTGGCCAGATGCAGCGGATCCCTCCCTGCTCTGCAGCACCGCCCTCACCTGAGTTTGGAACCACTGCTCCACGTCACGGAGGTTGGTCTCCACCATGGCCTCGTACTGGCCCCGCATCTCCTCCAGCACCCTGCCCAGGTCCACAGTGGGCACCACGTCCAGCTCAATCTTGAGCTTATCTCCCAGCTGACACTTCAGAGTGTTCACTTCCTACAGAGACAGAGAGACCAAGACCTGCAGTAAGAAAAGGGCATTTCACAGAGCAGACATCACCTGAGCCCCGTCCCCGACAGGCAGCATGAGATGCAACACCACACACACTGACGTGAAAGGTCTTGCCCTGGGTCCAATGGGAAAGACCCACCTGGAGACCTTCCTAATCTCACAAGGCATACCTTTAGAGACGAAACACCCACTCTGCCACATCCCATTGGGCCAGCCTGACTCTCAGGCCCAGATCAGCCCTTTATCCTGCTGCCACCTGAGCCCAGACTCTAACCCTGGAGACCCTTGGTGGGAGGCGCTCCCTTCTCTGCCCAGCGCCCTCACCTCCCCACAGAGTCAGCAGCCACAGGACCAGACCTGCTCGTGGTTGCTCTTGAGGCAGAGCTGCTCCTCCTTCAGGGACTCCTGCTGGGCCTCCAGGTCGGCCTTGGCCAGGCTCACGTCGTCCAGGATCTTGTGCAGCCCACACAGGTCTGCCTCCACCGCCATGCGCAGGGAGTGCTCACTCTCATGCCTTCCATCACAGAAGACGCAAGTCAGCCGAGATGCCGAGGAGAGCCCCTCTCAGCTGGCCCCGCCCCCACCCGCTTCACCAACGTGGACCCTCATTTGCTCATTGGGCTCAACACTGGCCTTGGAGATGAGTTAGACACAGTGCCCGCTCTCAAACAGCTCACTGTCTAGTGAGGCATTCACAGCACTTAATCATTTTCACCATTGTGAAATGAGGCAACTTTGGTTCAGAAAGATTAACTGACCTGCCTAAGATCATGTACCTTAGGACCCAACACAGGGTTCATGCCATTGTATGAGCTATTAGTTATCTAGGATAAGCAATAGCCAACCGCTTGGTCATTGATTTGCTCCTTTATCCCTTATGTTGGGATATTTTTCCACCTCTCATCTTTCATCTTTGTTTAGTGGAAATACCTGGCACCTGAGAGCTCCATAGATTGCTCCATAGGTAAATCTGGACCCTGACTTATCTCTAAGAGGCTCCCTTAACTTATATGTGAAATTCAGTGGCTGTCAATGGCTCAATTTATTCTAGAAATCACTTTATTTTGCTCCTGGTTAATGAAATTGGACTGCTTTATCACAACCATTTTAGGAAACATAAATGAAGACAGACTAATACCAAACTATAGATACTCAATTTGATTTACCCTGTTTGTAAAAGTGACAGAAGCCCAGCAAAAAAAA